GAGGAGCTATTTCCCAGGGAGCAAAGAGACAAAGAAGCTTAGAATCTTTGGTATGCGGAAAAAGGGCGAAGGCAGACCCTCCTTAGCAGTTTACTGGGTATATCTAGTAGTTATGCAAATGAGTGTTTTAGTCCGGCAAGATTTCTCTCTTTTTGCAAGCAACAATAAAGAAACTACTTTGAAATAACTCATTGTGTCATTGTCTATGGCAGTGGTTCTCAACCTGTGGGTCGGGACCCCATTTGGGGTCGATCGACCATTTCATGGGGGTCGCCAAGCAAGGCTGTCCGCCATTTTTTTTGTCCGCCATTTTTTTTGTCCGCCATTTTTTCCTCTTTTCCGGCGGGTGCCTTACCTCCCTTGGGCTGGGCTAGCTGGTGGTCGGCCTGCTCCATCTCTGCCACTTGCCAGATACGCCTCGGCCGGCGCAGGGGGCGGAACCACGCATGCACGCGCTCCTGGGCAGGGAAAGTCCTCGACTTATGACCGGTTGGGTAGTCCTCGACTTATGACCGGTTTAGTCCTCGACTTATGACCGGTTTAGTCCTCGACTTACGACCGGTTTAGTCCTCGACTTACGACCGGTTGGGGTCGCGGCATTAAAAAGGTTGAGAACCACTGGTCTATGGAGATTCTCAGTCATCCAGGTCATGGTTGTCCCAAAAGTGCTTTTTCAAAAAGCAACTGGATTATGTTTTTTTCCACTGAGGAAGAAGATGTTTTGATTCTCATCCAAGATGCTTCATCAGTTCTGGCTGGATGGTGGTGGTGATGGGGTGTGTGGGGAATGGAAGGATTAGTTTCTGACAGGGTTAGGGTCAGAACTAATCCTTCAGCCTCCTCCACCATCCAGCCAGAACTGATAAAACTTCTTGAGAAGCAAAACGTCTACTTCTTCAAGGGGGGAAAAAAAACATAGTCCAATTGCCTTTTGAAAAAGCACCTTTGAGACATGCTTGTGTTCTTGATTCTTCAAGCCTGACAAAATATGCTATAATGTGAAGTAAGCAAACTTAAATTGCCTGAATTCAGTTAGAATGATTGCTTCCCTTGTGTTTAGTAATTCCCTTTTTCATCACAATAAAAAATTTAAAAAAATATTAGTTCCTACAGTTCCTATTCTTCACCAATATATTACCGAACATTTTTTTAAGATGAAGAACTCTAAACTTTTATGTTGTTTTGGTTGGCACCAAAAGCCAAATAAAAAACATTAACTATCAAATTTTATCAGTTGTTAAAAAAAACTATAATTGGAATATATGGGGGGAAAAGGGTTAATGCTGCTGCTCTTATTTTGAAAGAAGAGCATCCAATTTATTTACCCATGTTTCCCTGAAAATAAGACCGGGTCTTATATTAATTTTTGCTCCAAAAGACTCATTAGGGCATATTTTCTGGTTAGGGGCTTATATTCGGGGAAATACAGTATTAAATGCATCCATCTGGTTGGCGATCTAAACTGGGGCTTATTTTTGGGGTGGGGCTTATATTAGGAGCATCCTGAAAAATCATGCTAGGGCATATTTTCCGGCTGGGTATTATTTTCAGGGAAACACAGTATTTAAAAGATTTGTATGGCTGCCCACTGGTAGCTCGCAGCAACAATAAGCCATAGAACCATAAAAACCTAAAACAAAAACCTGTCATGACTACCAGACATACTCAGTCTAACCCTGGTTAAAAACCAGATCTTGAAAACCTTTCAGGAAGCTAAAGTATGGGTGGATTGTTGACTCAACAGAGGGAGAATATTCCACCAGATAGGGCAGCCAAGGGAAAGGTGCGTTTCTGAGGTTCCACTTGACTAGACGGCAAGGGGAGGATTGGAGTGCACCCAATCTATCCAATCTGATAGAATGGGTAGATCCCCCCCCTCCCAGGAAGATGCAGTCCTGCAAATAACCTATTCCTGTTCCATTTAGGGTTTTCAAGCACCTTGAATTGCCTCTGGAAGGAAAATGAGAGCCAGTGCACTTCATGCAACAGAGGTGCAACATGGGCAGATCTAGATGCACCGAGCCGCTGTGCATGCCGCTGCATTCTGGAATGAGTTGAAGTACGAGAGAATGATCTGCATTTACACAACAATTAACTGAAACACAATTTGCTGAATTAATATAATGTTCTGAGTGGGCCTGATGCTCTAACCCATAAAGTAATCCCCCGGGCTAGGTTTGGAGAAACCTTCAGGTAAACTATGATTAACTAGTCTATTGTCTGGGATCAGTGGTGGGATTCAGATATGTGAACAACCGGTTCTCTGTGCGGATGCCGCTTCTGGAAGTCCAATCTGGGCCTGAGAAACAAAAAATTAGCTACTGGTTCTGCCGAAGTGGTGCCACTGGCTGAATCCTACCACTGTCTGGGATGCCATGCAACTCAGCCAAAGAAATATTAAATGAGAACTTCTCCTTCTCCAGAACCATCAGAAAAGTTTATTTCCTTGCCAAGAGGTCCTCCCTCCTTTTCTCCCTAAGATAACAACTCCTCTGAGCTACAAACCAGATAAAAATCTACTGCTATTTTG